GAGTGTCACGCAAGACTCAAGACTAGACTGACTAGACTCTGGACGAGAGACGTGACTAGTCACTACTCGTGACTAGTGACTAGACTCGACTAGTGACTAGTGACTTGACTAGACTGTGACTTGACTAGACTTGACTAGATTGACTAAACTCCAAGACTCAAGACTCAGACCAAGACTCGACATGACAAGACTTGATTCTTGAACTCCCACGGAAACAACGCAAGGTCCGCAAGGCTTATCGGCTTATTCCATGCAAGGTGCCCAAATCCCAAGTCCCAAATTACCCCCCAAAAAAACAACTAACCGCAACGGTACCGAACCCAAAGGACCCGACATTGGAGCCTAGAATGTAGAAAACCATTCACCCCAAGAATGGCCCAAGCCCAAGAAGAAGCGTAGGCGCAAACACCCAAGTTCTGCCGTACACACCTGAATTTCTCAGCAGGAGCCTGTTTTCTGTTTACAGACTATTACAGACCACCCTGTGGCGTCACGACCGGATTGGTGAGTACATGTTACATGAGTACCGACTACTCACTACTCATGACTACAGTGACTACACGAGTTTCACGAGACTAGTCACTGTGACTAGTCTTCATGCAGCAGGCCTGGCAGACGTTGCATTGCAGCTGACAGAAGGCTGGCACACACTATGGTCACACTCGGCAGGCTCATGGCATTGCCAACAAGGTCAGTCATCTCCCCTTGAGTAAGGGAAGGGTACAAACACTTTGTCGAGAAGCCGAGCAGACGGAGCCCTTCGATCGGCAAGAGCAAACGATCATGCTCAAAGCTATACAGTGATGAGCTTGCCAACAACGTTCTCAATCCCCAAGGTTTCCGCTCCAGAGACTGGCTCGCATCGACAACCAGGTTCCGGATGACTTCTTTGTCGTCGGCAGCAGAGCCGCCCTTCGAAAGCTTTGTGTACAAGAAGGCCAAATCGATCAGTGCCCTCGTTCTCGGCAGGCATCCTTGAGGTCCGCCCAAGCCCTGCAAGCGGGCCTGCCCTGTCCATGGTCTCGATTGCTGCCGAAGATCTGGCGGAAGCTCCGCCAACAGCGCCTTCTCTTGAGCCTGCCACTTGACGCCAGCCGAAGTGGCCGAAGTGGCCGAAGTGCTGGTCCTTGTCCCTTTGGTGGCCTGGCTAAGGCTTAGGCTGGCTGGAAGCTAAGCAGCTAAGGTAAGCCCCCAAAACTCCAGGTTCTCCGTGGTTCAACTCATTTCTACTCCCAGGTCCTAGGTCCTAGCTAGACTGTGGTCACGAGTCAGCAATCACTAGTCACTTGTCACTAGTCAACGGCCATTGTGTCTTGCGGCTTGGAACAGCTCTGATTGTTACTCCTCGTTTATCTTTTTGTTTATATTCACAATCTCTAGGCACTAGTCACTACTCAGTCACGACCAGTCTAGAATGTCTAGAATGGAGCCTACAATCCTACAACCTACCATCTGAAATTTTCCTTCGACATGACTTGCCAAAGCTGCCAAAGCTGTCGCTATAAGTGTTCCTGACTCATTCTAATTCTAACGGCTAACAGTGGCTAACATATACTCTCTCTCTCTCTCTTGATTCATCAAGGCATCAGGGGCTTCTCTGTCAGACTGTCAAACCGCTCGGCCACTAGGTCACTAGGGCTCCGCCGTTGTCCACTTTTTTTCTCCCTGTCTCTTTCTCTCTCTGTTTCTCTCTTTCTTTCTTTCTTTCTGCAAGCCTTCAGGGGAGGCTGCCCTATCTGACCCTATCTGGTCAATTTAGTCACTCTAAATTCAATCTTTTCCTGACTACAGCTGTCAATTGCGATGCTACAATCTGTCTCAATCTGTGGAGTTTAGAGTTTAGGGAATCTACAATCTACAATCATCTTCATAAGTCATCATTAGTCATTAGTCATGAGTCCTTGATGTTCCACTGTGAGTATCACAACAATCTGTACGTGCTTTGCTGTGTGTGTGCTATAACTGTAACTGTAGCACTGTAGCACTGTAGTGTAGCTGTAGTTGTAGCTGTTACTGAGACTGTTACTGTTCATGCGACTGCGGGCTGTCTGGGTTATGGTCATGAGGCTTCAGACAGCACTTCTTTGGTCCCGTAGTTACTAACTGTGTTCTCACCGGCCTTGTTTTCCGGTCATTTGTTTTAATTTTT